ACGCCCCTCTTCCTTATCAAACTGCAGCAATTAACAGGCAGTGACACAAACAGCATCGCTTCCGAGTATTTCGCATTGGCAGGCTTGAAAAGCTGTACTGTTACCAGCGTCATATTGTTCCAAAGCGCCACGTATAGCGGATTCATATTGGCAGCCGCTTTGTCAGGTAACCAATGAAATCATTTAACACGGAGTTCCAAGCAGAACTCATATAAAGCCTGCTCTTTTGTTGCGTAGGTTTGTAATCTTACGCGCCCGTTCTACAGTCAGGAGAGATGAGATAATTTAGAACAATTAAAGACGGCACTAGGCTAGACCATATTAAGAATGGAGCTATTTGGAAAGAACTGAAATTACAGTAAGTTCAAAATAATATAGATGAAAGCAGGCACAATTAGATAAACTATTAGGATAGAGTATCTGATGAAAGAACACCAGTTTCTATAACCTCAACCAAAAAAACACAGAGACCGAGCAAGACTTTGGGAAAGATAAACTGATTATGTGAGGTCGGAACAGGCTTGATTGCCTAATGCTTGCAGTGAAAAGGAATATGAATATTCTATCAGCTAAAATTGCTATAATTAATAAACCACATACATCCTTTTACACTAACATTCTCAGCTTACTCACATGGGCCTATTGTAAGCCTACGATATGTAACTAATTTTAATTCTCTTAGTGGGGGGTGGAGTCCAACTGAGTCCACTCGGCACGGCGGCCACTGATTGGCCTATTGCAGCCTGCCCCGGGTGATTATGATGATGGAGAATTTGGTGGATTGAAGATTGGCAGGGGAAACCGAAGTACTCGGAGAAAACTCGCCCCAGCGCCACTTTATTCACCACAAGTCCCACTTGAGCAGATCCGGGATCGAACCCGGGCCGCCGCGATGGAAAGCCAGCAACTAACCGCTTGAGCTATGGCGCGGCGTATGATATGTACGTATATAATTGTGACATGACGCCTGAACGCCGGAAGTGTGCAATCAGAGATGCACCGTAGAGACGTCCATTGCTAGACAATAGCTCGCTAAGGAAAACGCATCCACGGCAACAGATAAGCTTGTAGAAACCAGACTACTGCTACGAAATTGACATACGTTTCCGCGGCAACGGTCAAACACAGACTAACAGAGGAACTGTGAGAGGTAGTGATCTCTGTTCGGTTCGCCCCGTAGGTATAACGGGTGACACGAAATTGATTGGAGAGTGAGAAAAGATGAAGACAGTACGTTCCTCTGAAACCGGCAAACCCGTACCACGCATCATCACAGCACAGAAGTTGTCCTCTTCTATGCATACGTTAAGTAGAAGAAGATATGACACAAGACCTCGGACCCGAGTGACGGGTGTGGGGTTGCTTGAGTGGAGAATGTTTGTTCAAAGTGTACCTAACCTTGATTTCGCTGTGCTGTCGTGAAGGCCCGTTCTGAACTGTGTAACAAAATATGACCGGTAGGCCAAGGCTAGGGACTTTCCACTTAGAGTGACGTCATACTCGAGGACATTCTGACGGGTCCTCATTTCGGTATTATTATTATTATTATTATTATCATCATCATCATCATCATCATCATCATTCCTCTAACAGAAATTAGTACCAGGAATCTCCCTGGGGAGTAAAGCGCGGCCGGCGCGTAAGACTGACAACCTTACCGCCATCTGTGGGCCGATTGTCTAGAAAATGTGGGAGCCTCGACGTCTCACAACCCTATGGGCCTCAACGGCCTGTTACAGGGATAGCTTTACCTTTATTATTATTATGGCTCTATAGCCCTTTTGAGGGCCGTGGCCGCTTTTTCAGTTTCTTAATGCTGTACACAGTCGATAGGACTCCTTGGACGGGGGATCAACCCCTCTCAATAACTCTACCTACACACAGGACAACACAAACAGAATAAACGTACACAATACAGACATCCATGCCTTAGTGGGATTCGAACCCACGATCCTAATGTTCGAGCGAGCGAAGACAATTCATGCCTTAGACCGCGCGGCCACTGTGATAGGCAGTAACATTATGGACATGAATTTCCAAAGGAAACATTTCTCATAATGTTCGGGCTGACGTAGGTTTGTTAGAATCTACCGCGGAAGCGCCGACAATGTGAAGTTAAATTTCCAGGCCGGAGTCCTTACTTCAGACTAGAATGGTAGTTCTGAATAAGGTATGTTCAGAATCCTGTTTCTGTTCTTGGGATACGGGTGTAAGAGATTGACTTTTACTGGAGTTGTCTCGAAAGGTACTGCTGGAGGAAAGGCGTAATTGAGGACTGGAGAAAATTGGATAAAGAAGAATTTCATGACTCGTGCGTTCTTTGAAGCGAGTATGAGAAAAGGTGCCTGCAGATGAGGTCATGTCTTTGCATCTGGGGGGGGGGGGGTTCTTCAGGAAGCTTGAAACAGTTTGTTCTCAGTTGGTAAAGGAGACGGAAGACTATTTTGACACAGGCAGTATTTGAGCGACGTGAGAAGAATTTCCTGACAGAAAGCAGAGAGACGCTTCAACATACAAATTGCCTTCGAAGAAGATGCCAAAAGCTTCTAAGCCGAACAGTGGTACTGAAATGATGAAGGACAAATTGTTTTCAACGAAATTTTATTTTATATATTTTTCTCAACATTAGTGACATATGTACGTCTACTTATGTAACGGAATTTTATATGAAGTTCCCCAATAATAGTAAACATGGTAATGGAAGCTGACATGTAACTCATTTCAAGTTATAATTTACTCACTACCAGTACCACTAAATGACCCGGGATAGCGCAGCCGGTATAGCGGCTGCCTACGGGCTGGAAGACCGAGTGGTCGGAGTTCGAGCCCAGATGGTGGCAAGAATTTCCTCTTCTCTGCGTCGTCCAGACCACCTCTGGGCCCCATCCAACCTCCTATCCAATGGGTACCGGGGGCTCTTTCCCCGGGGCGTGAAGCTGACCTCTCACCTCCAACTAGTGCCGAGGTCAAGAAAACGTGGGTCTATACATTCTCTCCCCATACGCCTTCATGGAGTAGTGCTTAATTAGTTAAGCACGCGGACAACTTTACCTTACCTTAAGCGGTACCGTTAAGCAAAATAAGTACATAAAACGAAGCACTCTAATTTAATCGCAGCAATCTGACAAACATAAACCAGTAAAAAGGAACTCTAAGGAAACCAGAATTAGCTCACATTATGTACGGTGCATCAAAACTGGTCTAAACCAAAGGGGCCAGTTATATACATACGTAGAAGCGTGTGGAAGAGGAATGTTCTTATATTTATCTTTTTCAGCCTTCCTTTATCTCCCCCTTTCCTTCATTCACTTTCTCCATTTCACTGTCTTTCTTTCTCTTTCATTATTTTATTGTTTCTTCCGTCCTTTCGCAATGGAAGAACATACTTGAGAGACGGAGAAATAGATGGGAGAATAATATTAAATTGGATTTTAGGGACATTTATTGTTAAGATGTGAGATGGATAGGATTTTGTTGCGGTATTTTTGAACACGGTGCTGAAAGAACTTTCTAGAAGTAGCAACGGATTTTTGGAAAAGTTAAATAACTATCAGCTTGCCGACTACGAACTTGCATTATGCACGTAATTAATCATCAGTCTGTTGGTTTTTCTGGTATGTTAAAGCAGTTGTTTGACAAGTCATTTGTAGTGTCGATTTCCGTAATCATCATTTGATGCGGTGTGGTATTGGTATATTAATTTATTACATCATGTTACTGAAGTCTACAAGCTCATAATAATTATTTTTTGCTGGCTCTACGGCCCTCTTTGGCCCTGGTCTCTGATTTTTCAGTTTCATTATCATTTTGCAGAAGGTAGGACTATTTTGAACGAGTGATCAGCTCGTCGCAAGGCCTCTACATAAACACAGGACAACACAAAGACATACACGTACCAAATATTCATGACTTGTGTGGGATTCGAACCCACGATTCCGGCTTCCTAGCGGGCGAAAACAGTACATGTCTTAGAACGCTCGGCTGCCGTGACCGGCCGTAATACTGAACAGTCATGATAATCCCAATCGTGAAGTATGCCAATAGACGGTAGTGCTCATAAACTACGAAATTTCTGTAACCCTGCTTTCGAGAACCGACTTTTCCAAGTGCACGTGAGATAAGATATTTAAAATTTCGTTAACTTCATACGAAAGCATGAGGAAAGTTAGCCCTGTAACAGGGCCACGATAGATCAAGAGGTTAGTCGTTGGCTTTCCACCGCGGAGGCCCGGGTTAGAGCCCGGGTCTGATCAAGTGGGATTTGTGGAGAACAAAGTGGCGCCGGCGCAGATTTTCTCCGAATACTTTCCCCTGCCAGTCTTCATTCCGCCAAATTCTCAGTCATCATAATCAGCCGGGGCAGGTACAATAGGCCAAACAGTGGCCGAGGTGCCGAGTGGACCCAGCTGGACTCCACCCGCCACTTTCCGAAAAAAAAATAATAAAAAAATATCCGTGTAACAGGTCGTGGAGGCCCATAGGGTTGTGAGTCTTCGAGGTTTCCACGTACAATTGTTCTCGAGGAGATGAAAACCTGTATTTGGAACTTCATAACTTGTATTCTTCTCCAAGTATAATTAGAATGATCAAGTCAAGGAGGATAAGGTGGGCAGGGCATGTAGCACGAATGGGGAGATGAGGAATGCGTATAGGATATTGGTGGGAAAGCCAGAAGGAAAGAGACCACTGGCAAGACCAAGGCGTAGGTGGGTGGACAATATTAAAATGGATCTTAGAGAGATAGGCTGGGGTGGTATGGATTGGATTGATCTGGCTCAAGTTAGGGACCAGTGGAGGGCTCTTGTGAACACGGTAATGAACCTTCGGGTTGCATAAAATGCTGGGAAATTTTTGAGTAGCTGCAGAATTGGCTCCTCCAGAAGGGCTGAGCTCCATGAGTAAGTAAGCATAATTTAGTATAGGCGTGTGATTTTGATTTGTTCTTTCTTAAAATTGAAATATAGGTATACGTTTAAAATGTGTGTTTATTGCTTTTGCAGGTACATCATTGCGAGGCTCGGAACTTTCTCTCACAAGTGAAGTACAGTGACACAACATACGCACAGGATCGCCATTTTGAGCGTCATCAGCCGAAGCCATGTCGTACACTACAGAGTCTCCTTACATTCCTAATGGGAACGGTATGTATACACAGCATCTACAGGTGCTGGAAATAAATGTCAATTCGTAATTAATAAAGTTTGATCTAGGGCACGCGGTAGCGTAGTTGGTTGAGGCACTACGCTACAAGCCGGAAGGTCGCGGGTTCAAGTCCCGATGAGGTCATTGGATTTTTGTCAATTGACCTAATCCTTCCAGCCGCACCATGGCCCTGGGGTCGACTCAGCCTCTAACAGAAATGAGTACCAGGAATTAATTAAATAACTTTCCTGGGGCATAAAGCGCGGCCGGCTCGTAAGGCTGACAACCTTACCGCCATCTATAAGCCAGTTGTCTAGAAAATGCTGGAACCTCAACATCTCACAATCCTATGGGCCTCCACAGCCTGTTACAGGGATACCTTTACTTACTTTACTAGAAAGTTATAAATTAAGTACAATAGACCACTGTAGGTCGCGGTGCAAAAGCCGAGAAGGCCCACCCCTTATACATTCATTTATACATTCAAGTTATAAATTTCTTTCTTAAACTTTTCCCGTCCATTTGCAATATTATTCATCTTAAGTTCTTATGCGTATTTACTAAGAGCCTGGATAGCTTAGTTGGTACAGCCGTACAGCTACTTACTGGATGACTGGGGTTCGACTCCCGCCGGAGGCAAGAGTTTTTTTTTCTCCACAGCGTTCAGACCGGCTCTGGGGCCTAACAAACTTCCTATTCGAAGGCTATAACGGTTCTTTCTCGAGGAGTAAGGCAGCCGGGGCGTGAAGTTTGGCCATTAACCTCCATCTAGTGTCGAGGTAAACAGTGGTGGAGCTATATTTCCACTCCCCCCATGCTCCTTCGTGGTGTTTGATTAATTAAGCACAAGGACAACTTTGCCTTTGCCTCTGCTGATCATGCAGGTTGACAACAAGGAATTGAGGAGAGGAGGCTGAAGCAATAGCCCGCTCAAGGGCTTCTCAAAATAATATTATGTTGGGCGGGGCATGCAGCACGCATGCATGGTCTTTGTCGGAACACCCGGAGGTAAACGGAAAATTATTATGTGAATTGCTATTAACTTCTCAAGGAGGACTGCGCCCCAAAGTTAATTAGTTATATTTACTAACCATTGGTGCTCCGTGAATTTGTCGGTTGATTTATGGTCGCTAAATAGCGCATTTCTAATTCTAAGCGGCCACAATTAACACCCTCAATATTTTAGTTTTTTTTTTCTTTCTTTCTTTCTTTCTTTAGTTCTGTCCTTCTCTTTGTGTCCATCTCTCCCACACCACCCCTTCTGTTTCTGTACAGTTCGACCATAAAATAAGTGGAACCAAATGCAGAATGTGCTTCTTAGTGAAACGTCGTTTATAAAAAACTGTTTGCATATTGAGTGAGTGCGATAGAGCTTTAGGCTTTTATTATTCATAGTACCAAACTCTGTGTCTCATAGAATAAAATAATGTATTTAATTTTATAAAGAATCCGTAGTAAGTAAGTACAGGTATCCCTGTAACAGGCCGTAGAGGCCCATAGGGTTGTGAGATGTTGAGGTCCCCACATTTTCTAGAGAGTCGGCTCATAGATTGTGGCAAGGTTGTCAGCCTTACGCGCCCGCTGCCCTTTACCCTCAAGAACATTCCTAGCACTCATTTCTGTTAGAAGTTGAGTCGACCCCAGGGCCATAGTAGGGCTTGAAGGATTATGGCAATTGAAAAAATCCAATTACCTCACCGGTACTTGAACCCGCGACCTTCCGGCTTGTAGCATAGTGCCCCCAAAGAATCCGCAGAGGTAACCCAAATGTCTCTCTTTTCCATACTTTCTTTAAAGTGGACATCTTGCTTGAGAATTGTGCGGAAAATTTATATTTAAAGAATTTCCTAAAATATTCCATTTGCGAAATATTGCTTTCAGGAATGTTAAGTAATTTCGTGATATCTGCCTATGGGGCACTGCATGTTTGGAATTACGAACTGTTAAAAGTTGTATGTCAATTTTTTTATTTATATTTGCTTTGAGGACGTCTTGAGGGAAGGACAGAAATATACAAAGAGATCCTTATGAATACACGTTCGGTAGTTCAGCCATCTCTGCCGACACACGAGACATTTTCAGCACAAATTAAAATGACTTTTCATTGCTGGTGAAACAATTTGTGAATACTAGAAATCATGATTTACAAAAATAACATTGCTTCAGTAATTTTTACCGTCTATCAGCTGCGAAACATAAGCGTTGACGCGTGAACTATTCCCTCTGCGAAGAAGAGAATCGTACAAAAACTAATATACTTTGGTATTATGTCGTTTACATGTAGCAGACAATAGTTGATTTACGGGCTATTTATTAATTAGTTATTCTTAAATGGAAGGGACTATGTAAAGAAGGCTGCCGGTCACGGTAGCCGAGCGGTCTAAGGCATGCACTGTCTTCGCTCGCTTGGAAGCCAAAATCGTGGGTTCGAATCCCACCCGGGGCATGGATGTTTGTGTGCGTTTTTCTGTGTTTGTGTACAGGTAGAGGCCTTCCGACGAGCTGATCACTCGCCCAAGGAGTCCTGCCGTACGTGTAAGATCTAGTAACCCGAAGTGAAACGGAGAGTTTCATGGAGGTAGGCCTAGGCCCAAAATGAGGGCTGTAGCGCCAAAGAAAAAAAAATGTGAAGAAGGCTAAATTTAAACAAAGAAATACAAGGAATCTGTAGGCACACTGCGAAGTCACTTTCTGTGTCCCACGGTGCTCGCCCATTTATGTTCTGTCATGAAATTTAATAATACAGTGTGTACACAAGGCATTATTTACATCGCAAAGTACATGCAATGTGGAAGCTACTAATAGTCTGTTGTGTACGTGGAGTTAAAACATGTCAAAAAAGGGAACAGAATGTTTTCTAAGACGTTCTTTACTATAAACCACATATTCCATCTGGTGCCATTTTGCAGATCATCTTACCAAAAAAGACTGCACTTTACAGAACATTTACCTCATTAACATTTACAGCTTTAAACATTTTTTCTTGTGCCAGTCCTAATTGATCGATAGTGTCAGAAATCATATTGTCACTGGTTCTTGGTCAGTGCATTCCATGTAGAAATTGTACAAACATCCTACAATAGATTTAGAAAAATACTGTGTAGCCTGTAGTCCGCAAGCGAACTATACCGACCGAGCGACCGCTACTTGTCGGCGAAGTTAGTATCAATTTTAGCGGATAGAGGGTGTGGCGTGGTCAGCGCAACAAATCCCCACGGCCGTTAATCTCGGTTTTCTAGACCGGATCCGCTATTTCCTTGAAATAGATCCTCAATTATCATCACGAGGCTGAGTGGATCCCGTTACAGACGCACTCTTTCTCAGAAAATCTGGTAGCGCCGGGAATCTAACCCGGGACCTCTGGATCTGTAGTCAGGAAATCTGACCACTAGACCACAGACGCGGTCACAATAGATTTAATGGCACTACGAATTAATTTGCGGAGAAATCGGTTTTTCCAGGGGGAGACATTTCTGATTGGAGAAAACACTTTTTTGGCAGTGTAAATATAAGACGCTTATTGTGACATGTTCGATTTAGTGCGCAGTACAAAGAAATCATTACAACTCATGCGTAGTATTTGTTATGCATTCCGACCATATTGTTAGCTGCTTTGCCTTAGTTTTGACATTTGAGAGTGGAACGGAAGGTGTAGATTTTTATATTGAGTAAACACGTACATTTGTTGCTAAATTATGTTTTTAGCTCAGTCGGTATAGCTACGGGCTGGGCGGCTGGGGTTCGTTTCCCGGCAGGGGCAAGAGATTTTTTTCTATTCTACAGCGTCTAAACCGGCTCTGAAGTGCACCCAACCTCCTATCCAATGGGTACCGGGTACTATTTCCCCGAGGGTAAGGCGGCTGGAGCGTCAAGCTCACCACTCACATCCTAATTCCCAGGTCAAGAATTGTAGAGCTACGACCCCACTTCTCCTTATGTCATCGTGGCATGGTGCTTAATTAGTTGGACACAGAGTCAGATTTACCTTTCCTTTAATATGATGCCGAGTTTCAAAAAATGAAATGAAGAGTGTAGTATTGTCACAGTGGTTATTTGTATCGCGTGACTAAATCTCATAGTTATGTGTTGTTAGTTGTTCGGCAAAACTACATAGTTTTCTATATATAGAGCTCTCAGTTTCCGGTCTAGAAAACCGAAATTAACGGCCGTGGGGATTCATTGCACTGGCCAAATGACACTCTCTATCCGCTGAAGTTGGCACTAACTTCGCCGACAAGCGGCGGTCGTTCGGTCGGTATAGTTCGCTTGCCGACTGAAACCACGGAGTTAGTTTTAGTTAGTTAGAGCTCTCAGTTTGTTTTCCTCAATTCCAGCACTGTCGAGTTGTACCCCCCTTAGGAATGCACATTCAAATAAAATATATGGCAACATTATGCTGCAGATGTGCCCACCATGAAGCCTCTCCACCCACACAGTATTATAGGAAAGCGCTGTGTCATGCTCCTAGCGGGATTGAAGCCCGCCATTCCAGTGTGTACGCTTCCAAGATCCGCGAACGTGTAGACTATTGAAAACGTAGATTTTACAGGGTTTTAGTTAGAAACAGCCTTTTTATCTTCTAAACGTAAAGGACTAATTTCCATTATATGTACACCTCATGAATTCTTACAGGAATGCATTGACAAGTGTGCATTATCGACAAGAAAATAAATAGCATATAGTGTATGTGCAAAATGGGATGTATTGTCGTAAGTTTTATTTATTAATTTATTCTTCGTACGTGTCTATGTAATATACGTTCTGTATTAACTAATTCCAGGATATATTTTGTCTGGCAAGAAATGCAGTTGTTTTTATTAGCCACACCTGAAGCGAATTTCTTTGAAGTGCATTATGGATATCGAAGGCGTCAAATAGATTGAGATTTCTCAGAACAAAATATCGCATGCCTTCATGAACACTGTGATGAAACTTTACGTTCCGTAAAACACAGGATTTATTAGTCAGTTAAATAACATACTGAACCATGCAAGTTAAATAAACTGACTTCACATAACTGACTTTTTAAGAGCTGCAGAGTCGGTCAAAAAATTCCTGTTAATACTGTTTCGAAGAAATCGAAGGTTCAATCATTATCATATTTACAATTATATCCCATTAGATCCTGCCTTAAGCCAATTTAATTCAGCCGCCATTTTCACTGCCTACTTCTCGAGGATTCCTATTGATATCCATTCACATAGGCTTAGCTCATCTAATAGCCGCTGCCTTTGAGGTTTACCGAGGAAATTTGCATACATTTCTCATTTCATATATGCATGCTACAATCGTCGCTCATCTCATCTTCGGTGATGAGTGCACATCATTGAAGTTCTTCCTTATGTAATTTTCACAATTCACCTCTTAATTTGACTTGGTCCCTCATGGTCCATCACACTAGCAATAATATAAAATATTAATAACGCCGTCCAGTGTGATTGATAAATGTTGTATTTCTCTAATCTCTCATCCTTAACCTGTTTCGGTCGTAGCAACTATCTTCAGAAGGACATTATCAATACATACGGAAACTACTATTGCAATGTCACGGATATAAAATATTATCCTGTAACAATTACTACGATGTGCATGAATTTGTTGAAGCATTTATAAATTATTATAATTAGTCTATTTAGAGAGTATTGTCCATCTGAAGATGGTCACTACGACCAAAACGTGTAAAGGATAAAGATTAAAAAACCAAACAGCTATCAGTCACACTGGACAGCGTTAATAATCTTTTATTCACCTCTTACTTTCTCTAGTTTGAACATGTTTTTTTTTCCTTGGCACTACAACCCCAGTGGGCCTAGGCCTACCTCCATGAACTCCGTTCACTTCGGTTTTTCTCGATCTTACACATTCTGTAGGACTCCTTGGGCGAGTGATCAGCTCGTCGCAAGGCCTCTACCTGTAGACAAACACAGAAAAATGCACACAAACATCCATGCCCTGAGTGGGATTCGAACCCACGATCCCGGCTTCCGAGCGTGCGAAGACAGTGCATGCCTTAGACCGCTCGGCTACCGTGACCGGCAGTTTAAACATGTAGACAATTAAAATTTATACCGTCTTGTATTTCTCTACAGTTGGATAGAGGTGTTAAACCCGCGTAGTATATCACAATTGTGGCCCTGTGTTCACAACTGAAAGAGAGGTAACGGTCTAATATTTTACAGGCCTGGTGCAGACTCTGCCATCCGAAATGGTACCACAACGGAAGAGCAAGGACCGGGGTCGCTACCCTCCTTGCAATTGCTGCCCTTATGGCTATCACATCGACCTGGACTTCGTGAGGTACTGCGAAGCTTTGTCGCAGGGCAGCGAAATGTCGGCCAGCAAACAAAGACGCCGGGAACGGCGTCGTCAGCGCCAGTCCATGGAAGTTCTTCTTGGTCTCACAAGCCCAACGGTGTGGAATCTGGAGCAGCAGCTACCGAAGGTATATACCCAGAAGAGAGTTCGACAGATCTTTTGGTAGTGAAACATGTCTTAAAATCTTACAAACCCTTCCTCCCCCATTGCAAGAAAGAAAATAGCCCCTACGGGAAAAAATTATTTAGTTCAGTTCCTTTATTAAAGTACTTTCTGGCTAATAAAAGTCTATGAAGC